GACAGACAGGGGATTGGGGGAGGATCGATCCGTCACGACTTAGTTGTTGTGCGGCGCCACCTCGAGGAGGTGTCGTGTACGGTCTTGACACGGGTTATGCTAGGTATTCGCCTTCCCGTGCCCTGCCAAAGGCTTGGTACAGGCGTATGGGACTTACGACCTGCAGGAGACCAGACCACCTCGCAATGCGCCCGAAGACGCACCCTTAAGAGAGTGTTGGGTTACCAGCCCCACGGCTTGTAAAGCGTTGGTCCAGACAGAAGGAAACAGGCCTCGGAGGCCACACCCAAGGGTTCGGGTGTGGTCGGAGTCGCGAACTCGGATAAGGAACCTATTGGTGACGACAGGCACAATATGAACGCAGAGTCGGCCTCCTCTACTAGCACTACAGAGGCCCGGGATAACGTCCGTCCCACAACCGGGTCACCACCCGGAACCAACGCGAGCTCGGTCAGAGAATTAATCAATAGATTTACAGGACTCCGAGATCATTCCGGACCTGGACCGAGCTCACAAATCACACGAACACCAACAGCAGCAGATCGGAGAGAGAGTCTGAGCGCCCCCCTCGGAGAGAAGGTTTCCGATGAAAGGAGGACTGGGTGCTCTCATTGTGGCCAACGATTCGCCTCGTATAAACTCGTGAGGCAACACGAGTCCCGGTCCCACCCGTTGGAGTACCGGAGAGAACTTGAGGCGAAATTGCCGCTCCCCGAATCAGAGCTGATGGCCAAGATCGCTAAGATCGAGGCCGGAAGCAAGAGGGGCGGCAAATTTTATTCCGAAATGGTGAGGGCTACCGGTCTGACCGAACATCAGGTCAGACATAGACGCGAGCAAAAAATCTATCAGCGCTACTTGACCGAGGCTAGAGCACAGGTTAGGAGAAGTGCCACAAAACTTTTCGGCCTTCCTACCAGCTCAACCCCGGTAACGCAGGGCCAATCAACCCCAGGTGGTGGATTAACTAAGACCGATATTTGCTCATCTAGCCCCCACCAAGCCATCAAAGCCACTGAGAGTCCCCAAATAGCCCCCCCGGATATCGGATTCACAAGACCTCCGAAGAGGACCCGTGAGGACTTGAACTCCGATCACATCTCAGCTGCACACGAAGTGGAACCCATCCAGCCTCCTCCCAACCTTAGGGGTCGGGGCTTGGACAGTATTATGGCAGAGGTGTCAGATGTGCCATCCACTAAACGAGGAAGAAGTGTGTCTTCAACACCTTCTCCGAAAAACAAGCGGGTATGCGCCGGTGAACTAATTGGCGTTGATACCGACATACGAGGCAGAAACGAACTTGATTTTGTGAGCTCTTTGAATATTACCCTAAGGGGTTCAAGTGTTGGAAATATTACATGTACACCCTTAAATGAGACTATTTTAATTAACAAACCATCTGTTTCCAGGGAGGTGGAGCCACCATCGACTCCGATGAGGGCGGCCCTCCTGCCGGGATCCTTCGTCGCTTACTTGACCGCATTAAATGACTTGGACAGAGATACCCAAGGTATGATTAATAGGGCATTAATGGGAACCGGTCCAGAGCTGCTTGCGGCGATGGACGACTGGATCCAACAACGCTTCCCGGCAAAGGTCAAGACGGCGAGGGGGTGCGCCGCCGCTGTGGAGGGACCACCCCTCAGTAAGAGGGCCCTCAGGATCAGCCGATACAAAAACTGCCAGGATCTTTTTGTCAAGAGCAAGAAGACCCTGGCTGATATGATCCTGAGTGGAAAGGACGTCTGCCAGTCCGTGGCCGCTCCCACTTTGGCGGACACCGAGACCCTGTATGGTGGGTTGCTCGAGTCGGAGTCTCCGGTCGACCCCGACCCGTTCATTGAGCGGGATCGGTGTTCCGACACATTCAAGCCGATCACAGAGACGGAGGTCGTGGGGTCCATGGGATCATGGAAGGTGTCAGCCCCCGGCCCCGATGGGACTTCTGTGGAGGACGTAAAGCGGTGTGGGGCTCGGGCACTTAGCGTGTTATGCACGCTGGTGCTTGGGAGTCGGATCGCTCCGTCCAGGTTCCTGCAGAACCGGACTATCCTTATCCATAAGGACGGGGATGGTTCGGACCCGACTAACTGGCGTCCTATCACGGTCGGATCTTCCATCCAAAGGCTGTTTCACAGGGTGATGGCCAGTCGGCTTGTCACCGCAACCAACCTCAACAGCAACCAACGCGGGTTTGTCCGCGTGGACGGGACCCTGCTGAATGGGGTGATACTGGACCACTACATGAGATCTCGTAGGGCCCAGGGGAAAGGCTATAATGTGGTGTCATTGGATGTCCGCAAAGCCTTTGACACCGTATCGCATTGGTCGATACGCCGCGCACTGCTGCGCCATGGAATCGAGGTTGAGACCATAGACTATATTATAAAATCGCTGGGCTCGTCAGTGACTCGGATTTCTGTAGGCCACGAAACATCTCGGCATCTGGGCATTACGTGCTTTAGGACGTCCATCCCCGGATCTTTGGCAAAGCGGATCAGGAAGTCCCTTGAGAGCTCAGGTAGCCCTGTGGAAACACTGACTAATGATCTTGTGTTTTCCAGGAACTTGCAGCGCCTGGAGAGGCTAGCACCTCTCACCGACCCTGGCACCACCAGGAGGGAACAAATAAGGATGAACCCCTATGTCAGAGGAATTGAGGAGGCGGTCCACGACGTAGCCAGCAGGTCCTGGATCGACCATCCTCCTCTGGGCTGGACCGGCAGGGACTATGTCAGGGCCATCCAGCTCAGAAATGGCAACTTGCCAACGCGAGGGATACCATCGAACCCTCCAGAGCACAGGCGGTGCAGGGCAGGCTGCACCGTCAACGAATCATTGTGCCACGTACTCCAGGCGTGCCCATTAACTCATGGGGTGCGAATAGCTCGCCACAACGAGATCTGCGCCAAATTAGCAGATCATTGTCGGCGCAGAGGGTGGGTCGTGGAAGAGGAGCCTCACGTCCGCCATATGGACGGGAGACTCTATAAGCCGGACTTGGCCATCAGAACGGGCCCAGATCGGCTCACTGTCTGCGATGTCCAGGTCAGTTGGTCGGGAGATCGTGGACTCGACCAGGCCTGGACTGACAAACAATTGAAATATGACAACGAGCACTTCAGAGCCGCTGCGCTCAAGAAATGGCCCAACACCACTTTT